CTGCTCGGTGGCACAGCAGATGAAGGGTTAGTGTTCCCCGCCCTCCCTCGGGACCAGGCTGGGTGGGGGTCGGGGGAGGGCCCCGGGTGGGAACGGGGAGGTAGGGGTTAGCATGTGAAGGGAGGGAGGCAGGGCTGGAGGAAGGAAGGGGACAGGGAGGATAAGGGAGTGAACATGTGGAGAGCGGGAGGGAGGTTGGGAGATGGAGGGAGACGGGTGAGGGCTGGCCTGCTGAGTAGTGGCAGCAGGTAAGGAGTGTTTATGTTTTTTGATTGGGAAAGGGGGGGGGGTGATCTGTGCTCCAACACAGCCAAGATTGAGATGGAATGAGATGAGAATTTGAATGTAAAGTTTAACTAAAATAAAAAAAAGAATGATGGGCAACAGTGTACTCTGTGTTGCAGGCATATTTGTGTTTGTGTTATGATCATGCTGATAAAGAGAGAGAGAGAGAGAATGAGTGGGAGAGAGAGAGAGAGAGAGAGAGAGAGAGAGAGAGAGAGAGAGAGAGAGAGAGAGAGAGAGAGAGAGAGAGAGAGAGAGAGAGAGAGGGGGGGGGGGAGGGAGAGAGAGGGGGGGATCTAAAGGAGTTATATCTTAATTACAAAGAGTAACAGCCAGCATGAACAGAGGTAGAAGATGAAGAGAGACATATTGGCAATTTGTTGATGAATAATGATGACTCGAAACGCCTGTAGTAGTCGTAATGTAATGAGATAAGAACTTAGCTGTGTGTGTCTAGATGGCTGTGCGGATTATGTAGATGTGAATGTCACCTCCTTTGCCTCTTACACAACATAGCCGCTACACCCTGTATCTTAACATCGACCACAGATGCACAGCAACGATATGTAAAGCTCAGCAGGAAGAAAGGGGGCCTATAAGTCAAGCCTGCAGTGTAAGTGTACTGTATGTAGACATCATAGTGGACATCATGTAAACACGTTTCTTCACGGAGTCACCAGCAGAAGGCCTTTTACACAACATCGGGGTCAGGGTCAAGGTCAGGGCACACTGTAAAGGTAAACACAAGGGCCGAGACTGGGTTGTTTACGAGGGTGTTTTTTTCAGGGGTTAAACACGAATCACTGGTGTGACATAGAGGCCAAAGGTTGCACGCAGAGGTTAAGAGCAAACCATTAAGGAATTTATAGAAGGGCTGAGAATGAATGGATCTTTCTTTTTTAAGGTCGGTAGTGCTGAAACTATGATTGATGTGGAATCAATCAATAATGTTATTTTTTGTCCTTCGCACTGAACAGAAAGAACATCGGATCTTTCTGTGTGTGAATGAAGTTGATTTGATATGCCCTTTTCGCCAGCTGACTTAGAGAACAAACAGATTTATGTTTATGTTTCTTCAGAGACCAATATGGACATTGGAGAACGCTTGATTTGGGTTTTAGGGAGAAGGATGCCGACGTTATCGACGGATATAGTGTCAGGGTGTTGGCATAATGTGAAGACATATTGACATGAGCAACATGATTGGTGTGAGCGGGAGAATGAGTGTGGCTGAGTTCCGTACTGTAGGAGCTAAAGGTTTTGGATCTAGTGGCTGTTGGGCGAAGAATCCGGGGCTGTGTGTCAGTGGAAGAGGGGGAAGGGCGCCGGGGGAGAGCAAAGGGATTGGAATTTTAGGGCGTTCCTGACTCCGGAAGCACCAGCATGCACTTGAAGCTCACTGGAGAGGAAAGGGGAGGGAGGGAAGGATAGCAGAGGAGGTTCTTAATTACTCATGAAGTTGAGGCGGTGAAACACTCATCGGGGCATTTTAAGAACGAAGTCATATCACATCCCGAAGCAGAAAAAAAAACTTGCAAGTACTTCCTTTTCCATTTTCTTTTTTTCCTGGTAATAAAGATTATGATATATGTCATGCCTCTTCGTCTCCGCTTGAAAAAGAGTAGGGAAAAGAGAAGTAGGAATTCATTCGAATTAATTAAGGTGATGCAGTTTAAGGTAAACTGATAAAAAACAGTTGCTTCATTAGTGGTATCTAATGATTAATGACGAAGTCATGACTTGGGCAAAGTTCAAATGCAGTAGGGATATTTATCTTGGATCTTAAGAAAGTGTCGACCGGCTCCCTAGCCAGCCGATGTTAAGGAGCCGGCGAATTGTCAACAATGCTGTGCAGTCTATTATCTTGGGGATTTTACAAATTGAAAAAGATGAGATTATTAAAGAATTATATTTTGATAACGAAGAACCCTACTGTCACTTACCATGGGACTGCAAAGCCTATCTTACCCCTGTGCAAGGGGTTCTCAACCACCCAAAAGGGTTTCTAGAGTCCTCTCTTTGCGGGACGAACCTCCCTAGGGAGTGGTCTTCCCTGAAGGGCTTCGGACTACTGGCGTTATGGACTGGCCTTGAGACACCTCCAGAGAACTCCCTCGGGAGGTTCTTAAACCTTACACACTTAATCATAGACCTATAATCACACTCTCTCTCTCTCTCTCTCTCTCTCTCTCTCTCTCTCTCTCTCTCTCTCTCTCTCTCTCTCTCTCTCTCTCTCTCTCTCTCTCTCTCTCTCTCTCTCTCTCTCTCTCTCTCTCTCTCTCTCTCTCTCTCTCTCTCTCTCTCTCTCTCTCTCTCTCTCTCTCTCTCTCTCTCTCTCTCTCTCTCTCTCTCTCTCTCTCTCTCTCTCTCTCTCTCTCTCTCTCTCTCTCTCTCTCTCTCTCTCTCTCTCTCTCTCTCTCTCTCTCTCTCTCTCTCTCTCTCTCTCTCTCTCTCTCTCTCTCTCTCTCTCTCTCTCTCTCTCTCTCTCTCTCTCTCTCTCTCTCTCTCTCTCTCTCTCTCTCTCTCTCTCTCTCTCTCTCTCTCTCTCTCTCTCTCTCTCTCTCTCTCTCTCTCTCTCTCTCTCTCTCTCTCTCTCTCTCTCTCTCTCTCTCTCTCTCTCTCTCTCTCTCTCTCTCTCTCTCTCTCTCTCTCTCTCTCTCTCTCTCTCTCTCTCTCTCTCTCTCTCTCTCTCTCTCTCTCTCTCTCTCTCTCTCTCTCTCTCTCTCTCTCTCTCTCTCTCTCTCTCTCTCTCTCTCTCTCTCTCTCTCTCTCTCTCTCTCTCTCTCTCTCTCTCTCTCTCTCTCTCTCTCTCTCTCTCTCTCTCTCTCTCTCTCTCTCTCTCTCTCTCTCTCTCTCTCTCTCTCTCTCTCTCTCTCTCTCTCTCTCTCTCTCTCTCTCTCTCTCTCTCTCTCTCTCTCTCTCTCTCTCTCTCTCTCTCTCTCTCTCTCTCTCTCTCTCTCTCTCTCTCTCTCTCTCTCTCTCTCTCTCTCTCTCTCTCTCTCTCTCTCTCTCTCTCTCTCTCTCTCTCTCTCTCTCTCTCTCTCTCTCTCTCTCTCTCTCTCTCTCTCTCTCTCTCTCTCTCTCTCTCTCTCTCTCTCTCTCTCTCTCTCTCTCTCTCTCTCTCTCTCTCTCTCTCTCTCTCTCTCTCTCTCTCTCTCTCTCTCTCTCTCTCTCTCTCTCTCTCTCTCTCTCTCTCTCTCTCTCTCTCTCTCTCTCTCTCTCTCTCTCTCTCTCTCTCTCTCTCTCTCTCTCTCTCTCTCTCTCTCTCTCTCTCTCTCTCTCTCTCTCTCTCTCTCTCTCTCTCTCTCTCTCTCTCTCTCTCTCTCTCTCTCTCTCTCTCTCTCTCTCTCTCTCTCTCTCTCTCTCTCTCTCTCTCTCTCTCTCTCTCTCTCTCTCTCTCTCTCTCTCTCTCTCTCTCTCTCTCTCTCTCTCTCTCTCTCTCTCTCTCTCTCTCTCTCTCTCTCTCTCTCTCTCTCTCTCTCTCTCTCTCTCTCTCTCTCTCTCTCTCTCTCTCTCTCTCTCTCTCTCTCTCTCTCTCTCTCTCTCTCTCTCTCTCTCTCTCTCTCTCTCTCTCTCTCTCTCTCTCTCTCTCTCTCTCTCTCTCTCTCTCTCTCTCTCTCTCTCTCTCTCTCTCTCTCTCTCTCTCTCTCTCTCTCTCTCTCTCTCTCTCTCTCTCTCTCTCTCTCTCTCTCTCTCTCTCTCTCTCTCTCTCTCTCTCTCTCTCTCTCTCTCTCTCTCTCTCTCTCTCTCTCTCTCTCTCTCTCTCTCTCTCTCTCTCTCTCTCTCTCTCTCTCTCTCTCTCTCTCTCTCTCTCTCTCTCTCTCTCTCTCTCTCTCTCTCTCTCTCTCTCTCTCTCTCTCTCTCTCTCTCTCTCTCTCTCTCTCTCTCTCTCTCTCTCTCTCTCTCTCTCTCTCTCTCTCTCTCTCTCTCTCTCTCTCTCTCTCTCTCTCTCTCTCTCTCTCTCTCTCTCTCTCTCTCTCTCTCTCTCTCTCTCTCTCTCTCTCTCTCTCTCTCTCTCTCTCTCTCTCTCTCTCTCTCTCTCTCTCTCTCTCTCTCTCTCTCTCTCTCTCTCTCTCTCTCTCTCTCTCTCTCTCTCTCTCTCTCTCTCTCTCTCTCTCTCTCTCTCTCTCTCTCTCTCTCTCTCTCTCTCTCTCTCTCTCTCTCCTCTGTGAGATATGATAAAAATAGAAACAAAAGATACGTTCACAGAGGAATGTTTAACCGTGACTTTCTTAAGTTTATTTTCCTTTCTTTTTGAAAATGTATATCCTAAACAAAAAGCGACACTGCCGAAAAGAGGATCAGTCACCACCTTAACAATAACTTTGACACCTTAAGGGAATGTGGTACGATTTTGCCATTGATATGATTCTCATTTTGCTGTGTTTCGTTAGGTTCCATAAAAATAGGACATATAAAAGCTTGAGGGTAAATTGCATGCATTCATATTACGTTTTGATTAACTTGGCATGTCAAAGAACAGTCGTCTTGAGTTTTAATAAGATCTATTAACATCTCAAAAGTGATTTATCGAGAAAATATAGCAATTCTAATCCTGCCGTCAAGACGAATTTAGTATTGAATAAACCGTTCCTTTGCTTTTGCCCAAAATTTTGTCTCAGGAGGTATAGGCGCACCTGAGGCAGCTTAGATACAGCTTTGATATGAACCCTATATGCAAATGACAGGCAGGTGTGATTGAGCCCTCCCCCCGG